GTTTACTTTCAGCAAAATTGTTATTGTCAGTGACCTGTTTCACTTTTTTCTTTTTTTTACTCTCAATGGCATCGAGAAGTAAGCCGATGAACACGATCGCAGTGGCAACCGACTGCCGCTGAGTGAGCGTATTGCCGAACAGAACGACCGAGCCGAGCATCGTAAACAGCTTACGAGTGGTCGTCACAATAGAACAAGTCAATGGGCCAAATTCGGCCACCGTCTTGAAGATGAAGTACTGAAAGAACAGAAAAGTTCAATCCGAATAAAAGATAGTTCAAGTCTGCTGTGTAAAACAAAGTTCCTATTTTGCCCAATAAACAAAGCATTTAAGAAATCGTTTCATTTTAACCCGTAGTTTACTTAAAAAGAAATAAGACTGCGGTCAAAATCAGTGGACTGTTAGGTATAAAACTAGTGAAAGTTGTCGATGCGAATGTGGAACCGGGTAACTTATGCAAAAAAAAGAAAAAATAATAAAGTGCAATAATTCGCATAAGCAAAATCGACCTAAACTGAGAGATTTGCATAAGAAAAAACCGTAGAAAAGGTAGGCTCGCACGCACAGAAATGTAATTCACTCTATTTTTTACGAACTTATTGCGCATGCAATTTTCAACCGAAAAAATCTCATATATTCTTTAAAATCGCAGAAAAGAATAGCAGGATGAGCCAAGAGACCGGATTCTATTGAAAGAAATTTTTAAAAATTTTAGAAATACCTGTCCTCCTGCGCTCGCAATTGCTAAGATGATCATCTGTAGCATGACACTCGGATAAATGCGCACAAATGCCATGAAAGAGAGCAATTCACCGGTGAGAAGCAAGCCAACCAACAGATAGAGCGATGAGAAAGCGTTCATTTGGTACATCATACTGTGAGCATTAGCCGTATAGCGCTGGCGAACTCGATCCTGAATAGCACCCGTGGTACCGTCCATCGCCAGTGACACAAGCTAAAAATCAATTAAAATTATCAACAAAATTAAGACATTAATTTTGTGCGTGACAAGAATACCAATGGAGAAAACAAGGGCCCGATGATCAAGTAATTTCAGCGATCGACTATTGTCTAAATGCACCTGGAAACTACCAAACACTATGCTAGAGGCTGTATGATAGCAAAACTTTGGGCAACAGAAAACCATCTGCACTGGAAACATACATAATGCACTAAAGCACATATATCAATCACAAAAGACTGAAGTCTGTGAAAGATTATCTCGAGCTATTTATATGAAAATCATGTTATAAGGAATTCAATAAATGCGGAATGTGCAAGACACAATCAAATTTTAAATTAAGTTTGAAAGGACGAAAAGGAATTGTAACGGTATAAATAGGAAGGGTTCAAAAATTTCGAAATTAGAAAAAATTGTTAAAAATTGAAAAGAGATGTTTCGGTCCATAAAGTCGTTTCTTGCGCTGCCCCAATCGGACTTCGTCAGTACGACGGATGAGAAGATAAATAAATAGAGGCGCAGAGTCGGTGCAACCATGCGTTTTGTGTAATTCCGTCCACCGAAAGATTGCCTGCTAATGACTTTCACTGTTCCGCCAAAACTTCCACAGGGCCGTAAGTGATGTTCGGACACGCGCTTGAATTTAAAATCGCAAGAGTCTATGTGGACAAAAGACATTATCATAAAATTTAGCTTTCTGGCCTTTATGGTTCCTGTTTTAATAGTTTCCCCACCAAAATCGGGGCCGTAGGTGACACCCAAGAGCGTAAGAACGCTGAATTTGAATTTGTGAGGTCGCACCTCGGCAGGGGGTCGTTATTCCAAGATTTTAACTTCCTGGATTCCGTGGTTCCCGAGGTAATAACCTGCCCGCCAAAACCTTCACGAGGCCGTAGGTGATACTCGAAAGCGCGGGAACGCTAGATTTGAACAGGCAAGGTCGAGTGTGGGCAGGGGGGTCCTTACACTGAAATTTCAGCCTCGTATATTCAGTGCTTGCCGAGATAATAATTTATCTGCCAAAAATTTTCGTGGGGCCGTACGTATTATCCGCAAGCGTGGAAAGCTGAATTTAAATTTTTTGGGTTTCAGCCTTTTAGCTTTCGCGGTTCCCGTGATAATTTTACCCGCTCAAACTTCTACGGGGCCATACGTGTTAACCGCGGGTACGGGGAGGCTAAATTTAAATTTGCGGGGTCGCGCGTAAGTGGGGAACATTCTCCTAAATTTTCAGCTTCCTAGCTTTTGTGGTTCCCGAGTTGGAAGTTGCGGATAAATTGCTGCGGACATACAATAAGCATGAAGGATATTGAATCGTTTTGGATTAAATTTAGAGGATATAGACCATGTTTTACCTTTTCTATATGCTATACCTAAACTACACAAATCACCTTACAAATTTAGATTTATTGCGGCTGCCAGCCACTCCAGTATGAAACCCTTGGCGGTACAATTACATATAATTTTACAGTTTTTACCCAAACATTTAATCAATTATACGAATGTTACTTATCACAGATCCCGCAAAAAAACTTCCTTCTGTATATCTAATTCCTTAAATGCAATTGACTTTGCTAAAACTGTCAGAGGACCTAATACAATGACTGTGGCGGATTTTTCTAACCTTTTTACTAGTTTGCCACATGACACCATATACAGTTCGCTTAAATTTCTCTGTGAGCTTTGTTTCAAAAATGCACGCAAACACTGCTTAGCTTTAGGCTATAAAGCTATATTCTATACTACTTATTCCGCTACTTGTACTGGATGCACTGTTTATTCTTTGTCTGAAGTTTGTAACATGGTTTACACCATACTCATCGAATCCTATGTTTGATATTTTAGAAAGGTTTTCCGTCAAGTAATAGGTGTGCCTATGGGCGGAAACGCTAGCCCCGATATTGCTGACCTTACATTAGCAATATTAGAATACAAATACGCTACTATAAGTACAAATCCACCTTTGTTATTATGTCGATATGTAGATGATTTACTTGTTTTCGGAAATAATGATTTCAATGGAAAAGCTTCAGAAATATACGGACATGATCTTGAAATTAATATCACCGGGCATGGTAATACAGTTAATTTTTTAGATGTTACCTTTTCTTATGATAGAAAAGGTGTGCTTCGTACTACACTTTACAACAAGACAAACTGTTTCAATTTTTATGTAAATAAGTATTCCTATTTAGATAGTAATATTCATCCACAGACACATACTAATATTATATATAGTCAACTTGTTCGGTTTCTTCGGATAGAATCCACTATAGAAGGTTTTGTCTGCGCAGCAACATCATTGCTTTCATTATATCAACAACGCGGATATAATAGACATATACTACTGGATATATGTTCAAATTTTTTAATTCGATATAGACTACATTAAACTAAATATTTCTATCCAAACCACATTAACTTTAGTAATATCCTTAATATGCTCTCCATTTTTTAGCCCTTCCTTTTTCTTGCTTTCTTATTATTAATTTTACTATTATTTATCTACCTTATCGACTTATTTTCTCTTTTTTCTGATTCCTTCCGCAGCCCCACTATTCCACTACCTTTTATCTTCCTTTGTTATACTTTGTGTTGCTCCCGATCTTTAGCCGCTGCCCTCCTTCTTGATTTTTTAATATATGTTATACTATTTTTCTTTAAATTTTAACTAGATTTTTCCTATTCTCGTGCCTCTACTTCTGGGTGTAAGGTTCTACCTTTATTTTATTTATTTTACAGGTCCTACAGTGGTTCAATATCCAAAATGGTGGAGGTTTGTTTTACTAAATGCACTTTTACCATTTTTTCTGACCTTTTTACATTTTCTAAATTCTTCTTTTTTGCTTCTGACACTTTGCATGTTTATTTTGCTGCAACCGTCACACTGACGAGGTCCAGTTGCAGCACTGAACAGGAATGTATGCGACTTAAAGGACCGAAACATTCCTATTCAGGTTTTTTAAACCTATTTAGCTTAATCACCTTTCTTTTATCCCTTTTAACCTTTACTTTTTACATAAAATACACATCATCTAAAACTAAAATTACAATACGCATACACACATACACACACAGACAACCCCGTGACAATATGCGTTTTGTACTGCTGTTACACAGCACAAAACGCATAATAAATATTGTATATGAAAGTAAACTTTTCAGTGGAGGGCAAGTGGGGGATGAAAGTTTGACAGTAAGTGCTAGACTGCATTATGTTGAAGTGTAAGTGAGTTAATGTATTTTATTTTAAAAATTTGAGTTGCTTTATTGCAGCTGGATATGTTATATGTGAAATCAATGCGATTTAACGGTGAAAAGATTCAGGACGAGGTGATAATGCTCAAAATTTACAAACGACACCCCGAAACGACCAAGACCTTGGCAAGCGGTTATATCGGAAGAACCGCTAAACCCGTAAACTCCTCAAAAGAGACCATGAGCGTTAGAATTATGAGAAACTAGTCACCACCATACGATGCAGTACAGGCCAAAAGCAACTGGAATAATTAGCCAACGCACGGGCTGCCCGTGCGAAGATGCGTTTTTTGCATGGTTCCCCGCAGTTTT